AATGATCAGTTGATGAAAGCTCTACCAAGCCATGGAACACAAGAAAATATTCTAATTCTTATAAGCTGCACATCAAAGCACCCTTTAGAAGCAAATATAACAGCTTGTAAAAGCAAAAATGTCTTTCAACTGCTTTGTTCTGCTTGGTTTTTTTTTTTTCATAACACCATCCTATTTAAAATCATCATGCTCTGTGGAAAAAAGAAAAAACTACCCTACACCTTGACATGGTAGCAATTGTCCTGTGGTGGAGAATCTATCATGAAACATGTGAGTGGGTAACTCTCTTCAATATTAAGGTGCAACAGTAAAGCAGTATTGTCTTGTCAGTAACAACTTAGAGTTGAAATATGGCTAGCTTCCAAAGCCAGGCCCCAGGAGACCTTTTATTGATAGAAAAAAAAGCCTATGACCTCAGACCTCACACAGATACTCTCCACATCTACAGACCACAATCACACCATCATCCATCCACCTCTGTGTGTATATTTTTAACAGCTGCAGGATTTGAGCAAGTTTTCTTGGTTTGTGGCCTTTGCCTCGTTTCTGTGACCATTCACCTGCATGAAGCCAAGTTTCATTTGCAGATGTCTTTTTTAAAAAATCCTGTTTCGCAAGTTTTCCTTCACAGTTCTTGAGCCTCGTTAGCACAAGTAAAAGGATGAAAAGGCTTGTAAAATGATGCAAGAGTTCTGGTCACTACTACATGGATTTACCTCTCACTCTTAGGCACAGTGGGAGGGCAGCTCCAGACAAATATCACAACTCCAAGGGGATTCCAGAGCAAACGTCAAGCTCCCTGCCCAATCATGTTTTCACCACTGGGGTATGATTCAAAATGGGGACAGCTGGATGCCGTGAGGATATCACAGAATCACAGAATGAATCATACAATGACTTGGTTTGAAAGGGATCTCAAAGATCATCAAATTCCAACCCCGCTGCTTTGGGCAGGGTTGCCAACCAGTAAATCAGGCAGCAGGTCAGGCTGCCCATGGCCCCATCCAACCCAGCCTTGAGCACCTCCAGGGTCTGGGTAACAACATGGGGCACCCTGTGCCAGGGTCTTACTGTCCTCTCTATGAAAAACTTCCCCATGGATCCTGGAATATCTAAGACTATGCTGGAGACTTCCTTGTAGGGAACTGTCCTACCTTGGAGCTGTGTCTTCACCTGTGAACTTGAATGATCAGTGCTCCTACAGGGATTTACCTCATTTTAAAACAGATGTTTGAAACAATTCAAATGAATCACACATTCAAAATCACTTTTTTTTTTATCCCCATTAATAGAAATATGACTGGCTAGTTGCAAATAGCTGTAGAAGAGACATTTCATGTTATCAGATAAATCTCACCAAAGAACTACTGTTACGGCTATAGCTACATGGTGTGGGAGGCCTTAGCATCCCAAAAGCTACAGAGCCATTCAGAGAATCCCAGAATGGCTGGGATCAGGGCACCCCTGCATCCCTCTGCTCCCCGCTGCCCCAGCAGGACCACCCAGAGCAGGGTGCCCAGCACCACAGCCAGCTGTTTTGGCAGATCCCCAAGGAGGAGACCCCAGAGCTCTCTGCTCCCTGCGCCAGGGCTCTGGCACCTGCCCAACACAGCATGGGAGGAGGGAACAGAGAAGACGAATTGGAATAATCCTACAGCCTGCTTCTGGTCCCACAGTGGTTCACTCTCCTGTAAGTCTGTCCTGGGTCTGAAATGTACATTAAATGTGACATCCAGCAAGACAAGTGCCATCCTAATCACCACATCTCTGAGCAACCTCCACAGAACCTCCCTTGCAGAAGCTCTCTGAAACATAATTGGGTCATTTAATGAATTTTGTCTGGGTAGGCAAGACATTGAAGAGGCATTTGCTTTGCAAGTCCTTTAAACTCTAATTATCACTCAAGTTACTACTGCATCAGGGCCTAACAAAAGGTGCTTGAGGAAGCAAGGAATTAGACATCAATTAAGGTTCATGAGGTCATGGAAGAAACATAGCATACAAAAAAATAACACATGGGCCACCTCTAGTATCTGTTCTTTAGCACTTGTACTCCATGAACATCTGTTAATGCTAATGATTATGACTAAATAGAACTATAAGTCAATTATAGATCCTGTTAGTGTTAATTCATGGTCAATCTATATATTTGTCTGAAGAACCGCTTGAAAATTGGTATACAGTAGATTTTTCTTTTTTAAGTGAATAGATTTTTTTGAAGTACAAATACTCAGGAGCTCTTCTATTTTATCTCCTTGGATTAGTATTGGAATACAGTCAGTGATCCACAAATTAGTTATGCTCTAGTAATACTATGATGGCAGCTAATGAAATAGTCTGAGCCTTTCGATTCATGACCTGTGCCACATATCAAGGAGTATACCAAGTTTTACCAATAGAATAAAACTTTTACATGACACTTTGGCAAAGATATCTGTGTGGCTCTGGTTGCTCATACAAAACCATACAAAATCCATCACACAAGTGGTACACAGAGTAAAGGTCAAGCATGGTAATCCTCTGGATCCAGGTCAGATCATGCAGACTTACAGCCTGTGGTGTAAACGCAACTTTCCCATCTTAGTCTAACTCTGGGCATGAACAAAGGCACCCTTTTCCCTTCTATGCCTTTTTCCAGGTACATGGGCAGGACCTACACTTAGAAGCATGGACAGGAGACTAAAATATAAAAGGTGTTCTTCTTCTATCACCCCATCTCCCAGTGTTTATCCAATCCCATCCAACAACCTCAAACCCCAAACCACAAGCAATGCTACTAATCCCATCTGGGTTCCCCAAAATACAGATGTCTGTTGGTGTGATAAAGTAAGGCTTCCCACAGAGCTGTCCAGAGAAGTCCCTCTCACTTTGTAAAGGACTTAGGCATTTTGAGATTTGGACTCTTCTTCATTTGAAACAAAACCCAGTCTATGGAAAAGAATAGCTTGATAAATTGGACTTGGAGCAGTACGACTTCCTGCAGAGCCAGTATCATGTTGGGACCTACTCTACCACTTCCTTATTTGGCAGTCTACTGTGAGCAAAACACTGGACTTCTGCACCAGCCTAGCAAGGCCAAAATCACAGAATCATAGTCACAGAGCCATAAAATCATAGTCAAAGAACCATAGCATAGTTTGGGTTGGAAAGACCAGTTAGTTCCAACTCCTCTGCCATCTGGTTCCAACCTTCCCCACCCAAACCCTATCAATGGAAACCATCTACCACAAAATACTTCCCCTCCAGAAAATTAGAAAACCCTGATGAGAAGTCATGTCACTGTTTCACCCCTGAACAGCCCTACTTCTAGCTTAGCGTATATTCTAGTCTTGTTTTCATTATTTCAGGTTGCAAGTCATTTCTATCTGGCCAAACTTCTGCTAAAGTGGGCACTTGCTGGGTTATGAGCATTATTATACATTCAATCACTCTGTTCTTTGACTGCTTGGAAAGCTCACATTTCTAGTTCATTTCTCAGACTACTCTAACATTACTGTAGATCAAAATAGCACCCTTGTCAGTTTTCTGAATGCAGCAGATTAGTTTTGCTGGGTAAAAGTGCTCTTGCAGTTTCACCAGCATAATTCAAATGCAGAACTTAAGGCTGGGCTGGGAAGTGCATTCTTTAATCACGTTAATGTTATCCTGTGGCAGTTTTCTTCTTACATTTTTGATTGAATTTAATGGAGGTGAAAGTCACTAGATGAATGGCTTCACAGGCAAACACTCTCTAGCTAATCAACAAAAATTATTTTCCAAAGTAAAAAAAAAATATATATATCAAAAATATAGATTTTGCAAAGCAAAGCCTCTCCTCTACCCAGCTATGAGCAATCCACACCCCTGTTCCTGCTGCCTGTACCTTAAAGTCAAGAATCTCTTTGAGTCCTGGGTGTTATTTCCTTCAGTAAAGGATTCCTACAGGATGAAGTTGTACAAGTTCAAGTGTCTGACTGTCTGTCCCTTTCCAAACACAGGCACATTTCTAAGAAAACCCTTGCTCAGTAGAAGAGAAAGGTCTTAGCCCTGTTCCTATCATGGTAGAAGCTACAGGGAGAGCACTCAGAGAAGGGGCTGGAGGTCAGACAGTGTGAAAGCAAGGGGTTTTTTTTGGCTCTCAGATTTTGACATCATTACAGCCATTCTGTGTGTGGAGCATGTTCTGAGGGCACATTATTCTGTGTGAGGTTTCCCCAATTCTAGACATTCCACAGAATCACAGAAAGGATGAGGTTGAAAAGGATCTCTGGAGGTCATCTGATCCAACCAACGTTTGTTTCAGCTATCTCCCCTTAGTAGTCCCTTATATCAAATACTACTCGAGCTCCATAATTTAGCTTCAAAACTCCATCATCCCATATGACTAACCTACTGTAATATGTAAACTAGTTAGTTTTGGAACCCACAGACAAACCTGCCATGCTATCTAAGAACATTTCTGTCAGCACAAAGACCAGTCTTTGAAAGATTTCTAACATTCATAGAATCATAGAATCATCAAGGTTGGGAAAACCAACAAGATCATCTAATCCAACCATCAACCCATACCTATGACCACTCTAGACCATGTGTCTCGGTGTGACATCCACACTTGAACACTTTGACTCCACACCTCGCTGGGCAGCCTGTGCCAATACCTCACAAGAGAAAAACTAAACACTCCTGGACTCATTTTATCACCCACTCTTTTTGCTTTGGCCCTCCTGGATAGACCTGCCTGTCTTCTTTCTGTATTTAACCTGATAACAGAAAAGTGCTGCCTGTATTAAGGAGAAAGCAGACCACACTTTGCTGAGCTCTCACCTCCATACAACCACCACTGACCTCCAGGAGTACCACAGTGTTTGGGTCTATGTGCACTTGCTGTACATCAGATAGGCAGGTCCTTGGCCTTTCAGCTTCTTGCCCTGGCCTAATGCAAAGAAACCTATGAAACCACGGGAAGCGTGGATGTCACTGTGCCCTCACTGGCAGCGTGGCCATCCTGGGGAATGGTTTACCTGGCAGGATCCTTGCTCCAGCTCAATGCATAACATATCCTTTGGCAGCTTTGGTATCTGGTCCAAGCACTCCTCCCGGCTGATGAGCTTCATCCTCGCTTTCTGCAGCATGTGGGATGCTGACACTGCAGATGTTAAGCAAGTAAGAACAGAAGGCTCACCAAACTTTACACAACCTTAAGGAAGATAGGACTCAGAGGTAATTTCTTAAAAGACAGAAATTTTTCATGCTCTTTTTCCAGCTAACATGGAACCCTTTCATAGAAGTGGACAGAAATTAAAATGGTTTAATACAGGAATCTCCAGGGAGGTGGCTATATACCTAGTTGAAGTCTAATTGACAGCAATCAAAAGGGAGTCAGGCTGGTGATACTCAAGGTGACATTTCAGTGATGTCTACCTACAAAAGTCAAGAAAACAACCATGCTTCCATCCATGCTAGAACAATAGGTTATATTTTTGGTATGACCCATGCCACACCAATGCATGTCTCACTTGCCAGTCTCAGCTTTTCCAGTTTTTCCTCTGAGGCAGAAGGGCTGGGTGCCAGGGTTGGGTGCACTAACTTCCCACTGGGTGCAGTTTGGAAGGCAGAGGCAAACTCAGCCTGACACATAACAAAATAAGTCACACCATGCACCTGGCAAAGAGAACTTCACTGCAGGTAGAATCCTGCCAGAACAATTCCACAGAATTGCCCCTGCTTTTCTGTTCCTTAAGAGCATGTTATCTTAGTGAAATCGAAGACTCTCACAATTAAAACACAGCTTTGTGTTCTGATCTACAGTTATATGAAGTGAATGAAGCATAAGAGGTTCAGAGAGGCGACAGTAACTCTACAGAGCAGAATGGCAAGGATAAAATGGGACATGAGCTTCTGCATCAGGGAAGGACTGTTAAAGCCCCAAGGCACCACTCTACCCACTCTGTCCTGATTACTTCTTTCCAATAATGAAATAGCTCATTAGCTATTTGGTGGTATTTGCTCAGGATAGGCATTTTGGGTCACAATCAGTGCTGGAGCTACTTTATATTAGGGCTTGAATGGAACAATTAGTAATGGTAATCCACTTTTCCAAATATAGTACAAGAAGGGGTGGTCAGAATCATTGAATAACGTGTTTAATAAAGGCATCTTGCCAAAGGCAACCTTGAATCTTCATTTCTCTTATTCAACACCACTTTAGACCCAACATAAATTTCCCAGCGTGGTTGGAAATTGCCTTACTTTGAGTGCTCAGAAAGTCAAGGAAGAAGGTTGAGTTCTTGCAAAGCAATGGTGGGTTCTAAGCTTTCAGCTGGAGCATACATGCTCATTGTGGGTAACCCCTCCCAGAGGGAGAACATCTGCTTTAAGTGGATGAAAACCTCCATTAGCAAATACATATCCCTGCACCATCTCACCTGCACCTGTCATTCCCCATCCAGCAACCCAGCAGTGTTGCCATGAACTGATGTCATCCATGTAGGGAAAGCAGATGGGGATTTTCTCATTGCTGAATTCAATGGGATAGTTGAGCATGATCAGAGCAATATCGTGCTTTAAGGTTATTCTGTCAAAGTCTTCATGGAGGATCAACTTGCTTGGCTCACGTACTTCCAGTGGGAGGTCAAGGTCAACTGCTCCCATTACAATCTTAATATCTGGTGGCCTTATAAACATACAAAAAAAGAAAGTATATGTATGAGCATAAAAATATGCATAAAAATAGTATATGCATAAGCAAATGGAAACGTGTTGTGTTATAGAGTTTGATGCCTCCTTTCCCTGAGCAGGGTACCATAGTTCTCTGCAAATAGCAGGGGTGGGTTAGCTATAAATATCACAGAAATCAGCCCTCATTTCCAGGCAAAGCTAATTTTCAGGCGAAGTGGAAGAAGAGGTAGAAAGTGAATGCAAGCAAGTTCTAAATAGCTTAGCTAATGAACAGATGGGGAGAGCTAGGTGTTCAGGATAGCTGTGCCCAGGGCTGGCTACTCCATGACTACACTGTGCCTTGTCAGTTGCTCCAGGCTGTGGTGCCATAGGTCACTGAACAGTCCTGGCTCTTGAACCTGCCTTATTTTGGAGGGCTGGAGTCTGCTCCATTGGACACTGCATGAGTTAATGTGTCCAGAAACTGCTGGATTAATGTCAGACTACCCGTAAGGTAAAGGTGTTTGCTATATGATACCAGTGTAATTTGGGGCTTAGGATAAATTGGAATGGAATATATCTCTTTTTACAAGGTACCCCAACATGTGCTGATGTACAGTTTGGGGGGGCAGCAGAACAACTTCATGACCATTTACAGAAGGATGCTCACACCATCCTTCAATATACTCGCCTTCTAGATCTTCTGGTTACGAAGATTTTTGCAAATTCCTGTGGTAATGCCACCTGTGATCAATAGCTTTCTCCAAAGAAAGAAAAGCTCTCAGAGTTCTTTTCCTGGCTCCACCACATATATTTTGCACTTGATCCCAAGGACATCCTGAAGAGCAGTGTTATCATTCCATCATGCCTGAGCAGTTCTTTTTGACCCCAAGTAGAGCAGAGAGAACAGAATAGAGTAGAAAGAAAGCATAGGATAGGATAGGATAGGATAGGATAGGATAGGATAGGACAGGACAGGACAGGACAGGACAGGATAGGATAGGATAGGATAGGATAGGATAGGATAGGATAGGGTAGGGTAGGGCAATACAATGCAGTACAATACAATATTTGAGTTGGAATCGACCTACAATCATCTAGTTCAACTGTCTGATTTCTTCAGGACTAACAAAAAGTTGAAGCACATTATGGACCAGCATCTCCCTACCCAATTCCCCTCCTCAGGAAGTTGAAGAGATCAGCAATGTGTCCACACAGCCTTCTCTACTCCAAGCCAGACAATTTATCTGCCCTAATCCTCTCCCCTAAGCCTCTACCCTCCAGCCCTTTTGCTAACTTTGCAGCCCTCCTCTGGGCAAAGAAGTACTCACACTTCATCTGCAAAGCAATGGGCCGCAGTCAGGATCCACAACGCACTGATTATGCTGCCTCCACAGATGTGTTTCCCATTGCTCTGGATGCTCACTTGCCATGGGAACTCTCCAGCCTTGGCATATCTCCCACCTGTGATCCTCTTGCCAGTCCACAGAAAGGACTCAAAAGATGGTCGGAGGCCACACTCTGGGTACAAAATAAGATGTACTGCTCACATATGCCTGCAGCACTGCCTGTGCTACTAAATTAGAAGGGAAAGATGCAGGTGAAAGCACTGATCCTTGATCATCCTTACAACTTGTTCAAGGAATGAGACCGGAGAGCTGCATTTACCATTGTGTGAGTATGCAGACTGGGTAGCAGCCATTTTGATCGGCTGGTGACTTCTGAAGAACACATAAGCTCTGGAAAGACCTTCTGCATGGATGCTGCTGATTAGAGAAGTTAACACCCAGAAAGTAAAGAGAAGCATTTTCATCCCACTCTTGGACCAATGCTCTTCACAATATTCAGGACAGTGATGCTTCCACAGCCACATCCCTCTGACAGGGGCAACTGGGCTGTGATATCACACTATTCATTTGTCCTGCTGACATCACAGTTGGATGCTACGCTTCTGTGACGATCATAGAATCATAGAAGGTTGAAAGGACCTACAAGATCTAGTCCAACTGTCAATGAGAGAAAGCTAACACAGTTGCTTTAGTTACGATAGAGATTAGTCAGTACTCCATCCTGGACTGAATTTCATGGAGTATCACAACAGTGGATTTCTTGGGCTGGGTGCTGTAGGCCTTCATTCTCAAACCATCTTTTTCTCTCCAAAGACTTTATTTCTTGGTCCTGCTTTGGTTTTCATCTTTGAGAAGTGCTGGAGCCTAACAAAATTTGAATGAATTTTCCCCTATGTTCAGACCACTTCTACATTATCAGAAGTAAGCAGCTTTGTGGTAGGGCCAGGTTCAAACAGTGTGAATTCACAGAGTCATAGAATCATAGAATGGCCTGGGCTGAAAAGGATCACAACTATCATCGAGTTTCGACCCCCCTGCCATGTGCAAGGTCTCCAACCACCAGACCAGGCTGCCCACAGCCACATCCAGCCTGGCCTTGAATGCCTCCAGGGAATTACAGAGCCAAAGATGCTGAGGCAACCACTCCCATCCTTCCAGAAAACTGTGTACAAGAGTGGCTTACAAAACAACACCCAGCTTAGAAAACCAATCCATGAAACTGAATCATTTCTCCTTAACTAATTTTATCCTCCCTACTGTTTGTACCTCCAACAGCAACTGCAAGAGTTCAAGGCCAAAATTCTTCTGTAGAAAATCTCCACTAAATAAGGAGAGAGGACTCAAAAGAAGTCAAATTCAGACCTGAGCTCAGTATTAAGGACAGAATGGTGTTTTCTCCAAACACTTTAATGATACAATAACTGCACCAGTGAGTGGGGGGCAAGGGAGGGGAAAGGACAGAGGAAACCAGATAACATCTTATGAGCATCAGAATGATTCAAAATATGAAATGTTTTGCCCTGTACACTGGAGCAAACCAAGAGTTATTCTGCTGAAGCCTGAAATGCACCAAGATTAAAAATGCATAGGAATAAAGTCAGACTTTATTTTCCTTTTTTTTTTTTGCTTTTATGTCACCCCATGCCTAGGAAATTGGGCACAAGTGCTGGTTTCCTTGACAGTGAGCAACAAAACGATTCAGAGGTAAACACTAACAACAAATAGGTGACCAGTTCCTATGGCAACTGGAAATTCCAACTGTGATACGGACACATTTTGGGGTGTCTCCAGAAGGAGCCTAACATGGCAATCCTGCCAGAAGCAGCTCCTTGCAAACTTGCCCCAGGCATAAGCCTCTTAAAAAGAACAGTTATCATTGAGCTATCCAGTGAAATGGTGTGGATGTGTGTCCCTGCATCCTCACTATCTGGCCCTCAGAACAATCTTTACGTGTTCCTCTGCCCAGAATTGCCACATCAAAATGAGCTCCTGCCAATTTTCTCCAAAGAAAAGCAAAGTTGCTCCATTACACATGCCTGAGAACACACCAACGCCCTCCAAAAGTAGTGATTTGGGCAGCTTCCAAAATAGGAAACGAGAGGCTAAAGGCCACATCTCTCACCAGTCTGAGAAATATCATAAGCAACAAGCTGTGTAGGTGGAATTAACCTACACTTTCTCCCCATCTTTCTCACTGAAGTTGTATAACCTAAGAAGACATCCCATAGCACGTATATAGGTCTCAAAAGATCCTGTACCCATACAGGATATCCCCTGCATTGCCTACATCCTTCATCTCCAGCTTTTTGGTCTTTTGAGATCCCCCAAAATGAAAGGCTTTGTCTCTTTCTGGCTGCTCTGCGTTCTATACATGCAGATGCAGTCCCCCATCTTATGTTTGCACAGCACCTACCATAATGAGCTCTGATCTTAGAATCATAGAATCACTGAGGTTGGAAAAGACCTCTTAGATCATCCAGCCCAACTGTCCACCTACGAATATTTCCCCACAAAATCTTGTCCCTTAGTACAACACCTAAATGTTTCTTGAACACCTCCAGGGACAGTGACTCAACCACCTCCCAGGGCAGCCCATTCCAGCACCTGACCACTATTTCAGATAATTTTTTGTAATATCCAACCTGAATCTCCCCTGATGCAAGGAGGTCATTCCTCTCACTAGTTACACAGGAGAAGAGGCCAAACCCCACCTTTCAGGTAGCTGTGGAGAGCTATAACGTCTCTCCTGAGCCTCCTCTTCTCCAGACAGTCCTCAGCCATTTCCCGTAACACTTGTGCTCCAGACCCCTTACAGCTTCGTTGACCTTCTTTGAACACATTCCATGGCCTCAATGTCTTTCTTGCAGTGAGGGGTGCTGCTGAGTACAAAGGGATGATCAGTTCCCTGTTCCTACTGGCAGCACTATTTCTGGTATAAGCCAGGACACCAATGGCCTTCTTGGCCACCTGGGCACACTGCTGGCTCATGTTTAGCCAAGCACTGACAAACCCCACCAGGCCCATTTCCTCCACGCAGTCTCCCAGCCAGCTTCTCTGCCCCAAGCCTGTGGTGTTGCGCCAAAGTGCCAGACCCAACACTTGATCTTGTTGTTCTTCATCCCATTGGCTTCTGCCCACCTATCTAGCCTGTTCAGATCCCTCTATAGGGCCTTCCTAATTTTCAGGCAGATTAATCCTTCCTCACAAGTTGGTGTCATCTGCAAACTTACTGAGGATGTGCTCAATGCCCTCATCCAAATCATCAGTAAAGATATTAAACAGGACAGACCCAAATACCAGTCCCTGGGAAACACCACTTGGACCAGCCACCAGCTGGATTTGACTTCACTCTATGGGCCTGGCCCTCCAGCCAGTTCCTTACCCAGAAAAGAGAGTACCTGTCTAAGCCACGAGTCTCTACGAGAAGCTGTATGAAGAAGCTCCAAGAGAACTGTGGGAGAGAGTGTCAAAGGCTTTGCTGAAGTCTAGGTAGATTACATCAGCAGCGATCACTCCATCATAGAAGGAGATCAAGTTGGCCAGGCAGGATCTGCCTTTCACTTTCAATCCATGCTGGCTGGACCTGATCACCCAGTTGTCCCGCACATGCCATGTGATCTCACTCAAAATTATCTTCTCCATAATTTTTCCTGGCACCGAGGTCAGGCTGAGTGGCCTGCAGCTCCCCAGATCCTCTTTAGGAACCTTCTTGTAGATGGGAGTCACAGTGGCAAGTCTTCAACCCTTTGGGACCTCTCCAGTTGACCAGAAAATCTTGGCGGTGACATCACAAGCTACTGAAGTACAAATAGCTAATCATGGGAATAATTAAGTTACAGTACACTTAGCATACACCTCTATAGTGTCATGCATAATAATACTGATTTTGAAAAGCCCTGGTGTTTAATTAGTAAGCTGCAGACTTTTCTCATATTTGATACCTTTTCCAGATCTACCCAGACATATATTTAGAGCCATGGAACACACTGGAGATAGCATTTTTCTTTCCTGTCTTTGTAATTTATTGTAGTGCAGGAAACCAAATTGATTTCTTTCTGTGTTTGTACATTTTTTGGAACTGTCAAAAGTATCACATTACAATTTTTACTTTTTCTTACTAAAATTGCTTCAGAAAATAGGCACTATAGGTGATATTACACGTTGCAGCAAAAGTGGAATTGTGAGAGAACTACTGATCTTCTAAATTCATCATTCTCAAAGACATCAAATTACAGGGTTGTGATAGCTAAGATGAGCTCAGCCATGTCTCCAGAAGTCAAAGCTAAAGCATGAACAAATTCATCAATCCAAGAAAATAAGTATGCCTATAGACATTAGCTATGCAAAGTGCTTAATGGGTGCAGCCACTCCATAATCCATCCCTTTAACAGCGTTTTTTCAAGCCAAACTTTAAGAAGTTTCTTTCCTCTCTAAATTTCAAGCTTATGAGGAAATCAGGGAACTGCACAGAGCAAGAAGCTGCATTGGCCAGCAAGCAAAATTTCCATATCTCCTTGGCTTTTAATGTCAATGAACAGGAAACTGCTCAGATTACAGCAAGCCATCCCAAATCTTGATGTGCTGATGCTGTGGGTACCGGAACACCTCTCATCGCTGTCGGCCTTTTCAGAACAACTCTCTAGAACAAAGCACTGGAGGTGCCATGAGCACAAGCTATTTCCTGATCCCGATTGGGCAGGAAATCCCCGTTCCCCCGAGGCCACAGTATCCGTTGGGGTTCTTGCTGAGGTACTGCTGATGGTAATCTTCAGCGTAATAAAACTCCGGAGCCTCCCGGATTTCTGTTGTGATGGCACCAAAACCGCTTTCTGTCAATACCTGTCAAGAGACAACATGGAGATCCATTAGTGGTTTGTTGGCTTCCCTGCTGATGAATGACATACGGTTTCCTCTCAGAAGGAACCACAGGCATCTCTCAGTGCCTGGACCACACTTACAGCACATCTCTGAGAGCCTTTTATCCTTGTGATTTCTCTAGAAGAGGTTGTGGGCACCAAAATACGTGTCGGAGAGAAGGGGCAGTGCACCCTTCATTTTTAATGGCTCATTTGTTTAATTTGCTATCGCCACACATTTGTTCTCTTCATGAGCAGTACCAGGGAGAGATGTGGTGCCACCAATACAAGTGGAAAAGAGATGTGCAAGGCTTTGCAGGTGTCCAAGGACTTCTCTTGGCCAATGTCTCAGTTCTGAAATACATTGTTCAGTCATTCGTGCCAAGAAAAATTTCGGGATGAAATTTGAGCCCCACTGACAACAGAGGGAAATAAGAACATTCAGGCTCTTTTCACCGTCTCTGCAAACCCTTCCTTCAAAATGGATGATTCCATCATGAACAGAAAGGTATTTTTTAGACAAATTGTGTCTCACTTCTGAAAGAAGATCTGCCAGTGAGTGGACCAGTAGCAGCAATCACTTGGCAGGGACAGGAGAAGGAACGTGGGTGGGAATTTCAAATTAGACTGAAATTTCTTTCTGATATCCCTAGCTGAATTCAAAACTCCTGGAGGTTTTCTGATAGAGGAAACTTCTTTTTCATATGAATTGCCATGTCATTTTACCTACTGAATTTTTCATTTCTAAGGAAATTGCTAAGCACCAACCTTTTGGAGCCAGTTCTCATCTCATCTCAGTGGGGACTGCTCACTGCAGTCCATGATAATCTTATAAGCACTTTAATTGGTGTCAGGCTAGTGTTTACTGTTGTAAAGTATATTTCTAAAGCCCTGGACATTGGTAGATCTGTGCTGCTGTCAGCCAGAATTGACAGCAAGATGGGCTTTAAGAAGAAAGCATTAGCAGATAAGCTGATTACCTGACAAATGTGTACCTGACAAATCTCGTCATATTGGCAATAAAAACAATAAAAGGAAGCCACCACGTCATAAAAGCAGACCTGGAAGGACCTGCAGGAAGTCATCCAATCCGACTTCCTTCATCAAATACAACTCACAACAGCCAGCAGACCTTTGTCTAACTACTTCTCAGAGATCTTCAGAGATGGACATCCTTCTGGTTACTCAGTGATTGCATTCCAGTATTTTCCATCCTGGCCTAGCCAGGATTAAGCCCACAGCTTTCATTTAAACCCACTCTTTTGGTCAGACTCATCATGCACATGGAAAGGAAATCATTCCTTTTCTTTTTCCAGTGGTCTCCTACATCCCTGGTCACTGCTCAAAGAGAAGGATGACAAGTCAAGAAAGTATGTAAATGAAGCATTAACAAGTATTTAAACATTAAAAGGTGATTATTTGGAGCCAAAGAGCCTTAAAATACCAAACAACAGGGTTTCTTAGCTCTTGCCTCAGTGTAGCAGAGTACTGATACCATTCAGGAGTTAGCTGCCAGACAAGGCTGACACCAGTCCAATGCACTCCGGTAATTCCACTTCCTGGAGACACATTTGGCTGTATTCAGCTTTCTATCAGGGCTTAAGTAATAAGATTACAAAATCCGTGATGGACTTGCGTGGGGAGCCCTTTGATTCAAAACCTGACATCTAAATTCTCAGTGCAGATAAGGAAGTTGTGGACTAGCTAAGCAATGTTGTGATCCCACATTTGAGCACAGAGATAACAAGCCCTATTTCACAGGATTCCAATCTTGTTTTCCCACACAAAATCACTGAACAATATTTCTCATCTTCGGGACGGGTTTTGTCCCAAGGGAACCAGGCTATTACGTGCCAGATGTATTAGCAAAGAAGATGAAAGCATGAAGTCCTGTATCACAACAGATTGGCAACAACCGACACATAGAGATGTCAACACAACTGCTCTAAGGAAGCTGTGTTTCACTGGTTTCCTAACATTTCTAGCAAAGAAAAGCACTTTTGACATTATCTTCACCACAGAAAGATGGCACAGGCTCTGTCATCATGGGCATTAGTCATTTACTTGCTGCTGAAAATGCTGCAAAATTGGCTTCCTCCTTGTCTGAGTCATTAGGATGCTGCTGGAGGGATGGGTATTTTTCTACTTGTTACAGATTTTTACCTGGGACTTTTCCATCATTGGCCTCATTTTTTTTTTTTTTAATTTTTTTTTTCCAGTTAGAAAATCCATTCCGTTCAGTAACATACCACGAGGGGGCATAAACATCATTTATCCCTTTCAGAATTACTAACAGCCTATTAAAACGCTGCACGCTGAATAGAGCAGAAGCCCAAGACAACTCATTATGTTGCTCTTTGGTCATTAGCAAAAGATACCAGCACTGTTGTCAGAATCAGCGGGAACCCCAGGCTCCAGTGCTTTGCCAAACACTACCTTGAATGTTTTGATTTTAAATGGGAAAATATTTTCCTCTCACTGACTGTGTCAGTGCAAAGATAAAAACATCACCGGGAAAGATGATGAAGTTCATGATGTGTTGGCTCTGGCAGGTGTAAATCAGCACACTCTTGATTGATTTCCTGCCGCCAAGGCAGATGTAATTTGACAATAATCCTGTTCTAGCAGACTTTTTGGTCCTTGCTTTTTAGTCCACACAATTCCCAAGCTATCCAGTGTGAGCTCCCAGCACCATGCGGCAGCCAAAAGCTTTTGCATGCAGAAATGGGAAGAATAGAGTGAAAGAGAAGGTAATTCTCTTATAATATCTCCAGGGAGCTCATAGATGCCTCCTCCTTGGAGGCATTTAAGACCAGGCTGGACGGGGCTGTGAGCAACCTGGTCTGGTGGGAGGTGTTCCTGCCTACAGCAGGGGGGTTGGAAGTAGATGCCTTTAAAGGTCCCTTCCAACCCAAACCATTCTATGATTCCATGATAAGATTCTATAATCCACCATTGGGACCTTTCACAGAGTGCAGGAAATTTTTGAAGTACTCTTGGATCATTTTTCCCCCAGGTATCCCACTACAGTTAAGATAGAACTAACTCATTAATATATTCAAGGGACTTCTGTGGCTTTCACAACTCAAGAGATCACAGTGGAAGAGTACAACCATCCCCTATCTGATTACAACCCAGCCCCGAAAAACCTTGCAGGTTTTAGAACAGAAGCCAAACCAAACCAGAACCCAAGTCCTGCCCAACCAAAATGGATGAAGAGAACACAGTCATTTTGATGTTTGAGGTCGGTCGTGGAAGACAAAAGCCTTGGAGCCTGCACTGGGAACCTCAGCACCACCACTTTTTTAAGCAACTTGTACTTCTGGAATGTGAAAGGTTTTGTTTGATGAGTTTTGTAATTTATTAGAGCCTGCAAAAGTTTGCTTAAAACTTGTTGCCAGGCCATGTCATTACACAGAACAGCCTCTGCCACAAAAAATAATTCTTACTTGCTCTTTGCATAGGGATCTTGATTCTCTGCCTTCATTCCGTTCATTCATTTCTTCTGCAGGCTTCAGGGGCTCAGGCTGTTTAGACTCCCCACCCATAACTCAGGTCAGCCTTCTTGCCCTCTTCTGCATCCTCTCTGGTTCTATTTTAGCGCCTCATTGAGATGGGGTGACTGGAATTGCACTCTATACAAAATCACCACGGATTTACTCAGTGCTGCACTTACATTTTCTCTTTCATTCCCCGTCTCTTTCCCAGAAATTCTTTGCATTCCACTTGCCTTTCTGACCTCTGCTCAGCACTGAGCAGACGTTTTCAAAGGACCATCTGCAATGGCACCAGGACTTATTTCGCGGGTTAATTTAAACCCTATCATTGTGACTGCACTTGACTTTCATCAACATGGAATTTCAGCAGCTATTTTATTGCACAGACATTTGATATCGTCAAGTTCTTCTGCGGCTTTTTGTCGCAATGTCTACTTTTGCTTACTTGGAATAACTCTATGCCATCAGCAGATTTCAGTCCATCACTGATGACGGTCTCCCTTTTTCAGCTCTTTTATGAGGATATTGAACTGCACCAGTTCCCAGGACAGATACCTGGTAATCTCCTTTCATTGTGAAAACTGCCCTGTTATTTGTATCTTTTATTTCCTACCTATAACCAGTTATTCAAAAGAAAAACTTTCCTCTTAATCCTCAGCAGCTGTCTGCCTTTTTTTCAGCTCATCTCTTCAAAAAAGCGTATCTGCAAGACACAAGTTGCCTCTTCTAAAGTCACATGGACTCTTCTCTGAAATGCCACATTCTGTGCATGTCCATCAACTTCTGATACTCAGCCTGCAGTGTAAAATGCCTTTAATTCTGCTGGATCATCTCAGAGATGCCCATCTTCCAGCCCTTTGCTAGCAGGTCTAATTTAGATCACTGTTTACCCACGATGCTGGTGTGGAATCCCTTTCTAATTTATGTTCTTTTCCTACCTGTAGCCAAGCACCACACATCCATGTGTGTGCACTGATCTCCCACCCTTGAGCAGCTCTACCTTGAATCCCTTTTGTAGCTTGTACTTGAGACAGTTTCTCCAAATTGTAACCATGATGCAGTGTGGGAAGCCCCACATTCCTCAGTTGTGAATATGGACGTGAGTAATTTTGCAGCTTTCTGCTACGGTGTTATCTGTGCCATGTCTTCTTTAGACAGCTCAAGCATCCACAAGCATAGTCAGTCTCCAGCACTGATATGTAAAATACTCAACTTTCATAAGGAAAACACATGAGTGAACTAGTAGTGGTTTTGGACTCATAGGCTCAAAACCACAATGGACTGCAGCAATCAAACCCTATTATTTTCCCATTTGCACTATGCCAGTTGGCTCTCCAACCATCTGTCACCCAATCCAGTACTCACAGTCCCATCTCAGCTGCAGTGTGAGGTACCCACAATGTGCAAACACAGTTAGATTTTAAGGGACCTCCTACTCTTTGGCATAGAAAGTGTCATCTTCCACATGTTCTTACTGCCTCACTCA